AAAATTTTCAATAAACTTTTTAATAATGAATAGTTTATAAATATAAAATTACATTTCAAACAAAATTTTGCAGGAAAATGCCTTTAATAAAATTACTAATAAATTAATTATTTATACGTAGTGTTTTGTTGTTTTGTTTTGTTCGAAAATACCGCGTAAAAAATTGTTTATAAAGTTATTAACAGGAATGAATTCTAAATGTGCATTTCTGATTTCAAAAGATTAAAACTCTATAATTCCTGTGAATAAAATAAAAATACATATCAAAAACACATTCACAAAACTCTAGAATAACACTTTACTGAAATAAATACTTATAAAAAAAAAGAAGGAACAAACTTTGTACAATAAATATGTAGTTTTGTTAAGGTGTTAATTAGTTTAGTTATAATTGTCATTTATTCATAAGTGTGCATTTTAGTTGCATTGACAACTACATTAGACCTTGTTGTATTTTTGAATATTTGCATTCAAACCCAATTTCCCTAAACCTCATGTATTTGAATTCTTTTGTAAAAGTGGCAATATACAATAGTTCCATTAACACTAAAATCCATTCTGCAAATACCGCTGCCAGCCTAAGTTCGAAACCTCCATCATCAGGGGTCCAATAAATTACAGAATCGCCTATAAGTAAGCAGAAATTTTTAGAAATGTTTAGAATTATTACGATAGCATTGCGTGAAAACAATACGTCATTATTAATTAAAATAGTGACATAATAATGAGTGGCCTACGAGATGATGTCAAGCAAGAATTGATAAATGACAGGGTGTTTTCCTTGAAAGTAATTGTATTCGCCGATTTTCCCTGTATGAAATTCAAAGTCCCAGTCTTGAGAAAGACTTTTTTTAATTTTGAAAAAACACTGTGTCGAATTCAATAAATTCCAATACTATTAATGGTACATTATTGACATTCAAATTTTTTTCTTCGGCAAACTTTCCCATCTTTTCTCTCTTAAAACGATGAACTTCTTGATAGTCTCAAAATTGTGATTTCTTTTTCTCAAAGGTCCTATTTTAGATGACGTGAATTACAATTTAAGCTTTGAACAACCCTTGATATCTATACATCCCTGTTTTTACTTTACATTATTTCCTAGAGCACTGTGTATAGAAATACGATAAAACTTACCTGTAAATTGCGTTATTGCCAAAACCCCACATACTGTACAAATAAAGTAAACGGGGAGGAACAAAACTGACAAAACCACTCTAAAGTAGAAAGTTTTACGTCCTAATTTAAAATTACCAGTAGTCACATTGGGATTAGGAGCTAAATAGTGCCGCGAAATTATACTCTGGAAAAGATTGATAAAAATTAACATTAAAATTACATTTGTACGTTCGTATTAAATTTTATCAAAAAATATATATAAACATAGCCCCATTCCATGGAGCAATATCCAGAGGGTAGTTTGGGTCACTTCATACCCTTCAGTGAGTCCGAGAGAGTGGACAGTAATGACCCATATTGCTTTCTCGTTTTCTTCTCTGTTCCACTCCCATAGCAAACTCCTCCATCCCGTAGGCAAGCGAAACCCCTCTCGCAGCCTAAATATTACTTACGAAAATTTTCTAATGAGCGTCCCGCAGCTCAAAGGGAAAAAAACCAAGAGAAAGCAATATGTATCATTATTGCTTACTCTCTCGTACTCATTGAGGGGTATGGAGTGACCCAAACTACCCTCAGGTAGCTGCTCTGCTGTAGTGTAGAGTCGTGATTATTACCTAATGAAGACCTACATTATATCCTTTGTAATTCCCCGCCCTACCGTCTCTATCTTATTGTATCTCATTATTTATTTAAGTAAAATTTTTCATGACGAAGCAGTTCTGTTTTTTAAATTTTGAAGAATTAATCAATCCCTCGACTTTTCAGCAAAAATCTTCATCAGCAAAACGTCAGAAAATCCTTGCCCAATAATAATCTTTGGAAACGATGAGTGAGAGACCTAAAGCTCCAATAGAAACACGATATTTTACTCCAACAATACAACCTGTTATTGCAATATAAAAACAGCCTCTTTATCTTATCAATCAGTTTTATCGAAAATCGCGCTCATATTTATTGGGTAATCTCATTATTGTTAATACCTGTTGAAAAATAAAACTGATCTTTGAACAGAGCTTTCAATTCAGAGAGGTATTGATAAAATTTATCAAAGTATAGGATACTTTTAGGTGTAAAATGTATCTTAAATGAATCCTGTATTTGAGGGGGGCAAACTTCCGGACGAGGATAGCTTTGTTCCCGTATTTTAATATCCTCCGTCTGAAAATTGCCACCTGAGACGAAAGCGAGGGCGAAAACCAAGCGGGGGATGGTACAATACTTTTAAAATGACCCCTGAAATCAGAAAAAAGTATCGTACCTATCTACTTTTGATATGGATACATGTAGTGAAACACACCAAGGGAACGTATTTCTCACTCGAGAGGAAGTTGAAAGAGGCAAACTCCCGAGAGGGAGTTATAACTATAAGTAGATATAGATTTACTAAATATATATTTTAATATGTACCCAAGAGAGCCATGTTGAGTTAGTTTAATTGTCCCCTTTTTTTTCAGTTTTCTATCTTCTTTTTCTAGAGAAGTAAATATTAGGATGGGAGTCAGACAGGGATGCACACTGTCACCGCTACTTTTTAATCTATACATCGAAGACGCGATCAACATAATTAAAGACAGTACAACCGTAGGAATAGATATACAGGGGAAAAAGATTAGTATGCTTAGATTTGCAGATGATATGGCAGTATTAGCATCTAGCAAGGAGGACCTAGAGATAGTTTTAAATAAAATGGAAACGGTACTGACAAATCAGTACTGTACGAAAATAAATAAAAGTAAAACTAAAATACTGGTAGGTATGCAAGGGAAGAAAAAGTAGGGAAAGAGCGAATATAAAGATAGGAGACGAACAATTAGAAGAAGTGACTGATTTTAGATACTTAGTAAGTCAGATAAGTCAGGATGAAAGGAGTAGTAGGGATATAAAGCAGAAGATAGCGCAGGGTCGTGTCGCCTTTAATAAAAAAAAGTCACTTCTATGTTCGCGAACGGTTAATTTAGAAATTCGAAAAAGATTGTTAAAGGTGTATGTTTGGAGCACGGCGCTGTACGGCTGCGAAACATGGACAGTGGGCGCGGCGGAAAATAAAAGGTTGGCAGATGATGAGGATAACGTGGGTAGAAAAGGTTAGAAATGAAGAGGTATTGGAAAGAATTGGAGAACAGAGTACTCTATGGAAGTCAATAAAAAATAGGCGAGATAGGTTGGTAGGACACCTTCTCAGGCATGAAGGTCTAGTCAGAGACATATTAGAAGAAGAAACAGGAATTAAGAGGGGTAAAAGTAGACCTAGATTAGATTACTATTCGCAAATAGTTAAGGATGTGGGATGTTCTAGTTTTAGGGAAATGCGAAGATTAGCTCAGGATAGAAAAGAGTGGAGGTACGTGTCCAACCAGTCTTAGGACTGACGACCTTATGATGATGATCTTCTTTTTCATTAATTGCAATTGTAACTACTCACTTGTAATATGAAATACACTGCTGCAACTGCAAATGATCCTAAAGCCCCTACAAAGTGCAAAAGACGGACGTATTCGGCATTCTGCTGAAAATTTGCTACTACACTTAAACCTAAACAGCTTATCCAGCCCAGCCACAAGGAAGCCGTATTTATTCCAGCAGAAGCATTAATTAAACCGCAATTAATTGCCGATTCTACTTCCCGATACCTAACATAAACTGCTACAGATACTGAAAATAAAATGTAATTTTAGTTGAATGATTAACAAAATTTCGATTGACTTACAGAACGTTGCCCCTATATTTACTAATTGGGCAAAAATGCAACTTTCGGGTGTTAATGCTCCTGTATCGCTAATAAATGGGAAAAACCAGTAAATGTGTCCAAGATAGAGAGATATTGCGAATCTGTAAAGGTTGTTGAAATAAAAAAATATTTTACAGTCATAATTTAATTATATCAATACAACATTTGAAAGTCTTACATCGTATAAAGTCTATTTTTGAAACTTTTATAAGTATTCTGATTTTATAATTATCGTATTTAAAAAAANATGAACGAAATCTTCTTGAAAATAATTTAGAGGGAGAGATAAGTAGAACAAATGGTCGATTTCAAATTCCAATAGTTAATTGTTCTCTTACAATATCTCGCATCATATTATACTAAATTGGTAACAAAAAACAAGACAGTTAAGGATGCAGTTCTTCAAACTAATCTCATCAATCAATCTCAAACTAATCTCATTAAAATACGACCCCAGACATATTTCAATTAACTGCTAATTCCAAATCTTCTGCTATTATCTTACAACTACTATTCTTGAGAACGAAAATTTCCTAATTTACTTATTTGCCAATTCTACGAAATGGCATTTTCTTTTGTTTGCATTTTCTAAACACGAAATTCCTCTGATTTATATCAGTCGTAATACTATTAATTAACGTTATTTCTCAGTCTTAGCAAAATATTGAAACAGACCATTGACTAACAATAATAGGACAATATAACTACCAAAATTCTTTTAATACAAACAGAAATTATAAGAAGAACGTAGCAATGCGGTATCAAAGACCGCAATCTCTGAAACTAATCTAAAGTTGAAATTGCTTCCACTAAAAGAAAATATAGTAGACGATAAAACTCCTTACGAAAACAGAAGCAATCGTTCAAAATCTGAAAGACATTTACCATTACAACGGAATCAAAATACGAACTACTTCTTTTATTATTCAAATAAATAAAAATTCAGTTAACAAATTAACTACTACAATGACCACCGTAAGTAATCAAAACGGAATAAAATATAGATACTGACTGCTTAACTTTAGACTAATATTCTATCTCGACTGTGTAATCTGTTATTGATCCTGTAATAGAGTCAATCACATAATTTTTCTCAGCCAATTTTCCCGAATACTCATTATAATTACATACTATTTATATAATAAGGAGAACAAAACATTATAGAAAAGCGAAATAAACAATAAGTAGTTAAATAAGTTAACTACCCAATTTTTCTAATAAATAAAAAATAATTTAAATCGATTCATGTGGTAAAAGGCCAGTAAATATTAATCAATATCGTTCTGGTAATGTATTTGTATACTCTCATTTATCTTAAATAAAAACACTTGTTTCAATATATACACGGACAAAATGAAAAAGTAAAATTTACCGAAATATTAAAAAATAAATTCTTCTAAACTTACCTCGACCATTTAATAAATTTTCTCTTACACATTTGGCATACTGAACACACATATCGCCATGCTTAGTCCATCTATCGTTTTTCGTCCAAATAAATGGATCCAAAAAATATTCATTTTGCGTTAAATTGTCCACCACTTTGACCACAACTAGAGATGTATCCCAAGCATGGACCATCATATCCCATGAATACCCATACAAGCCATTTGTCCAGTTATTGTACCCCTAATATAGACAATTAACAACACCTTAACACAAAGTAATTACCAATTACAATAAAATAACGAATTATTATAACGGAAAATAGATGACGATATTTAAATGTTAATTGAACGAAAATTACTTGGCGTAATTATGAAATTAATTCTGAAGTTCGCACTTATATTATGTAAAGAAGTTTTTTCATTTTTAATTTCATTATTTGTAGCAATTTTATAATACATAGAGGATTGGAAAAGGAATATTAGCGACTAGCAAATATTTTTCCAAGTATATTGGAAGCGGTAGAGTTTGTCGTGATGTTATTAATAATAAAAACTCAATAACTGCAGGTAAGGGAGGTTGATGTAAAGAGTTTGAGTGATTTTCTGATTTACTTGATTCTTTACTTACTTTAGTTATGAAGTGAGAATAAGGAAGAAAACATTGGATAGAGCAATGGCTTATTACGAGAACGGCAGTTACTCGATGTTTCCAAGTAACATGATGAGAAAATTTCAATTTCTTAGCTTCGTGGATTGGGTAAATACATTTACTGTTGAATTTTATTTCTCTATTTTTCTCGTTGAACAAAAATCGAAATACATTTCTAGGCCACGAATTTCTGCAGAATAAAGGCATCGTAGCCAAACAGACATACGGAAACATTCCTTAAATGAATAGAGAAATAAATATAATATAACAACTTTTCAGACGTTTTAAAAATTAAGTTTGAAACTGCACCTACCTATTACAAAAAGTCTCGAATTCATCAAATGAAATAACGCACAAAACACCATCGCGACTGGTCTAGTTTTTTCCCACAGCATCCAAAATCCGATAGTTAAATCCAAAAGGAAACCAAACCAATGAATTATAAAAAGTTCAATTTGTTCAGTTGTTAGTATTGGTCTGCAGAAGTATTAGAAATACATATACAATGCTATAGGATACTAACACTGATTAACTTAAGACTTTTCTTTCATTACCAACAATGCTAGTAAAAAGGTTCTGGAGTTACACTAATACAGAAAAATCTTCTAAACAAAATAGATGTTAAAGATTGAAAATAAAATGAAAAATAAACCAAATCTTTAAATTTTTAATCTTTACTTGTTTCATTGATAATGTTTAACAACTTCACTAATTAGTTATTCGCTATTTTTTGTGCAAAACTAATTTTATTAACAGTGCAACTCCCAAGATTTTTACTATCCGTATTGGTGTTATTATTATTCGAGGAGAAATGATTACGAAATTATAGTTTGCACTAATATGATGAACACGAAAAGTTACCGAAAAATGTAAAATACCCAGTGTCCTCCCATTGTGCTCATTGCATATCCTGATAACCATTCAGAATTCATTTTTTTTAATCCGGCATAAAAGTAAAGAAGAAAAAATTGAAATTTCAGCACAAAATAATTCCAGTAAGGAACATGCATGTTTTCTATTGATGGATCACGTAGTGCATCAACTGACCTACAATAAAATAATACAAATCTTACATTCAAATTCTAGTTTAAAACCTTAAAAACAAAAGAATAGAACTTCGTATATAAAAGAAACAACATAAACTTTTACTTAGCAAAAAAAATGAGATTAAAAAATTTAATAGGAATATCAAAATTTGACGTTATTCAACTTGGAAAAAGATCAATATGCATTATTTTTCGTTTACCAAAAATGATTAGCGGATGATCCCGCTAGGAGAACGGAAACAATACCAAACAAATAACTGTGATTGTTCCAGAATGTTTTATCCAAAATAAATAAATACCAATACGTTACACAGAATACAAAAATACTTTTTCTGAACTGGTATCCAATCGTAACGAACGCTGCACCTAAAATATATGCAAATAATACGTAATCAGCAGTTTCAAATTCTGAGAGTTAAGGACCACAGGCAAATGATAGAAAATTGCACTCTTTTGACTAATAAATTAATAGTTAATAAGCAAATCTTGTTTTTTAAATATAATTATGGCATCTTACATCATTAGCGAAAGTTTATTAAAAAAAAAGGGCGAGTCTGTACATTATTCTATATTATAGTAGTATTTTTTAAAAAAAATTGACTTAACCAATTGCATTAACTAACTATTAAAACACCAGAAAAATGCAACATTATTTGTTGTAATATTGGTTTAGTTTTGTTAAAAAATTTTACGCTAACACCATGCAAAACTGCAAAGAGAAATTACATATCAAAACAAACACAAACGCATACGCAGTACATATACAGTACAGCCTAGGCGAAACTGCTGACAATTTGTTAGTTGGCTTCTGAAGCCTGTTGAAATGACTCCTTTTGGACATATCCACCAGGAGTCACAAGTTGCGCGTGACGCTGTGACGCGTAACGTTACCCTTTTTGGTTTTATACCCTACAGCCTATAAAGTAGTTTCAATTCAAAAATATTGACACATTTATTCGTACCAATTTTCAAATTCTTATTTTAGCAATTATTATCCCAATTGCAGTGTTTATACTTACTACTAAATAGAATCCCATACACTACGTACATCAGTTGAAGTGATAAAGGCCTAACAAAAGAAAAAAGTGGAAAATAACATTTGGCTTCGTCGCCCCATCTATTATGTACTTCTAATCCACCCCGTTCGAGAAGACTATCGAGCATCATAAGCATTCCTCAAAGAATCGTGAAAAGGTTGAGATGAGCTGTCAATATTACAAGAGCGCATATAAAACTTCTTACCAAACAGTATCCTGATAACACCCAAACTGGCCGGATCTGTCGGTCTATAGAGAAGTCTAACGAAGGCGTCAAAAGAAGTGAAATCGTGACGCTGAAAATTGAAAATGTTCTCAAGTTTCAAAAGAACTGCTGCTAGTTTGCAGTCCTTTGAAATTTTATCAGTATCTGCAGAATGCGTTTCCATTTTATTCCTGAAAGAATATTGAAACTCATTCTACCCATAAAGAACATCACATCATCCGTCACAAATTAAAACTAAGCGAAAATAAACGAAATGTGCCAATACATCAAGATAAAACTTTTAAATGTTTCGCATAAAATGAAAATGTTTCATCAACATCATCTTTCCTTCCTACTCCAATTTTAACCAAAATACGCCTGACCAAAACAATGTCATATGCATCAACGTATAATTTTTGACTAACAGTTTTGTATTCGTAAAACAAAAATAACAGTATGCAAGGAAAGAAACAGTAGGGAAAGAGCGAATATAAAGATAGGAGACGAAAAATTAGAAGAAGTGGCTGATTTTCGGTATCTAGGACATAAAGTGGAGGATAGCGGAAGGTAGAGTCGCCTTCAATAAACAGAAGTCACTTCTATGTTCGCGTAGTCAATTTAAAAATTCGAATAGGATTGTTGAAAGGTGTATATTGGAGCGCGACGCTGTACGGGTGCGAAACACACACGATGGGCGCGAGGGAAAAGAAAAGGTTAGAAGCGTTCCAAATGTGATGTTAATACAGGCGAATGATGAGGATACCGTGGATAGAGAAGGTTAAAAATGAAGAGGTATTAGAAAGAATAGGAGAACAGAGGATTGTATGGGAGTCAATAAGAAATAGGCGAGATAGGTTGGTAGGACACCTTCATGCATGAAGGGCTAGTCAGAGACATATTGGAGGCAGAATTAGGAGTTAAGAGGAGTAGAGATAGAGCTAGATTAGATTACTGTGTAAATAATTAAGAATGTAGGATGATCTAGTTTTAGGAAAATGCTTGAAAAGATTAACTCGCTATAGGAAAGAGTACAGGTGTGTGTCCATGTGTCCAACCAGTCTTAGGCCTGACGACCTTATTAGTTTTGTACGCTTTGATATTATTTTTTACGATACGATTTTTAAAAGTGCCAGAATTATTAATTTCTTTCACATCTAATTCCATTAAATTTTATAAGGGTTAAAGGCACAAGTGCTGTATAAGACTAAACACAGGATGATTAATAAAGAATAGAATATAGAACACCAACAAATTATAAAAAACAAGCATTACAAGCTGTTAAAAAGACTTATAGTCGTTTTGGAACAATTATCAAAAATGTTTTATGAACTTTAGAATTAATATATTGACTATTCTTTAACATAAAAGATTTCATCTGATGAATTAATTTTTTTCCGATTCAACGCCTATAAGACATGCATTATCAAAAGCGTAGAGATCTAACTATTAATTAATTAATTATGAATCATATAGATAACGAAGTAGGTAAATAAATTACAAAACAGATCCATTATTATAATAAGAAAATAACAATTTACTTACCTTTCTTTCATTTGTGTGTATTTAAACGATATAAAAAAACGTTTTCGCGTGTAAATGATAGTGTTAAAACGAATTTCAAATAAACCTCAATAAAAACCCTGAGATGAGAATGCTGTACAGTAAGCTTCGTACCTGTTTATATAAGGGGATGGAATCCGGGGATGTTTCCATAGTAATAATAAACATCAGCGATCACATCAAGTGAAATTTATTTGCGTGCAATTATTAATTCAAAATAATCGACGAGGCAAACAAAGCATTAACGTGGAAAATGGGGGAAGACATCCTGTCATTTGCTCGATTAAATTTTGATCTTCAGGTTCACTAGGGCATAAGAGAAACGAAGGCAATTTGCAAAACTGTAATTAATCAACACGACTCGGGTATTGTTCACATATCTTATTTTCCAAAGCATTTTCTCTGTGGTTGTTAAAATCATTTAGGCTTTACATTTAGCATAGTTGTTTATCTATATAAAGGACATTAAGTAAGAACGTTCAAGTCTTGGTCAGAAATTTATACATAGAAACTACCAGGCGCGGCTCTCATCAGCACGTCAAGTACTGACCGTACAAACCGATGAAACTCTTAAAGATATTATATCGCCATCTAGTGTTATTTGAAATCAGAGCCGTAGTCAGGGAAAATTTTGAGCCGCTAACGTAACCTGAGATTAATACGTGAGGACTTCTACTTCAATCTACTATTTCTTCGAAATTAAAGCAAAATTTGGGATATTCCATGTCGACTTCTCATTTTATTTTTTTAATTCCCCGACAGTTTTCCCGGATCAAAAATTATTGCACTATTAATTGTAGGAAAAAGGAAAATATAAATTAGCATTCCTGACTACATTTACATAGAAAAATATAATTTAACGACGAAGGTTCCTCAATCCACTTTAATTAAACTGTATTTATAGCCTAAGCTTTAAATTGCCCTGGCGCCTTCACCAAAATTTTCAATAAACTTTTTAATAATGAATAGTTTATAAATATAAAATTACATTTCAAACAAAATTTTGCAGGAAAATGCCTTTAATAAAATTACTAATAAATTAATTATTTATACGTAGTGTTTTGTTGTTTTGTTTTGTTCGAAAATACCGCGTAAAAAATTGTTTATAAAGTTATTAACAGGAATGAATTCTAAATGTGCATTTCTGATTTCAAAAGATTAAAACTCTATAATTCCTGTGAATAAAATAAAAATACATATCAAAAACACATTCACAAAACTCTAGAATAACACTTTACTGAAATAAATACTTATAAAAAAAAAGAAGGAACAAACTTTGTACAATAAATATGTAGTTTTGTTAAGGTGTTAATTAGTTTAGTTATAATTGTCATTTATTCATAAGTGTGCATTTTAGTTGCATTGACAACTACATTAGACCTTGTTGTATTTTTGAATAT